ATATATATATATATATATATATAATATAGAGCGAGAGACATCAAAGAAAAAAGTTGGATGTAAGAATTTAGATATTTTTGTGCCTAAAAAACGGCGCCAATAAAACGATGTCTGTGGTTCAAGTACACGACAGTTCAATAAAAATAATGATGTAGAACTACACTGTTCTGATCATAAGTTGCCTTCGGCTTTTTATAAGTTCAATTTTTTAATGTTAATGTATAGGCCTACCGATTTTTTAAAATTTAGTATTTGAAGTTGAAAACTATTTAGCAAATTTTTTATGATTGAAATTTTTTTAAAGTTCTATATTTATTAGGATTTAAAAAACTCTCCATTTTGTATTGTTTCGTTATTGTTCGAAATTAATTGTACGGTATTAAATCAGAAAAAAATCTCTAATCATTGATCATTAATGACGTACATTATGCGGCAAAGTTCTTTATGGTTGTTCTCCATTAATGAAATTGTATGTAATGCAACAAGTTTAAAATTGCTTTTAATTCATTTGCGAAATTAGACTGCAATGTACGTGGAATTGCTGAGCGTCTGTTTTTGTGTCGATAAATTAAGATCGTTAGTTAGTTTAATTTTTTTTTTTAATGAACTGTCATTTTGTATATTTTCTATTAAATCCAGTCCTATGTATTGTAGATAGTTTACCAAGGTAAACCAATGAAATACTACAAGAAAGACGAGTACTGTACAAACTCACCAGACTTGTGTTGAAGTGACGTCCAGAGGTTTTGATAAATAAATTGTTAAATACATGTGTGTTATCGTTCACGTACAGTATTAACGACAGGCTTAGCCCAAAACACAGTCCCAGTACAAAATGAACGTTGATATTCTTAAACACTGACATTTCAATTTGAAATGTTATTGCGTGCAATGGAGAGTGTTTGAGACTACACGAAAAACCTAACAATTTTAAAAAGAAGTTTAAGCCAGATTAGAGTTAAACTTTGATCAATATGTCGCGTCAATCGGCTACATTATTGGTGCGATTTACATATTTACATAGTAGTATAGGAGAGGGCTTTCAAAAACTGTATTTGAATACCTCACTCGCACTTAATCTACTCAGTTTCTCCCTCCTTCCCTCTCATACATGTAAATTTCTTTATTTTATATTATGTTATGGAATATATATATATATATATATATATATATATATATATATATATATATATATATATATATATATATATATATATATATATAGGCCCTATATATATATATATATATATATATATATATATATATATAGGCCCTATATATATATATATATATATTTGGATGTGTGTCTACAATAGAAATAGATCGGGATTAAGCTCCCCTAACTAAAGCTATTGAAATGGTTGGTGAAACTGTGACAAAATTGTGACAAAATCACTTGTTTTTTTTTTAAAGAAAAATGTAAGTAAAAACCAAAAATAGTGTGTGATAACATGGTCATAATTTACAGATGCCAAACTGTAATTCTATATTGACTGGTATGTAGCAACCCTTTGTGTCTTGATGGATTAAAAGACTGTAGACCGTTCCTGAGTCCACCAAGCTGTGATGGGTACCTAACTCAAGTTAGGGAAAGTAAAGGCGGATGGGCATAGTGCTGACCACACCACCCTTCATATGATGACGTCAAGAAACATTAAACTCTACTTTATCAGCCCATATGGATCTTTAGGTCGGAAAGGGAAACATCTACTTGTAATAAAGAAACACCCACCTGTTTCAGTGCTTGTTTTATTTATGGAATGTGAAAATAAGAAAAAATCAACATGGAAACTAGATGTAATAAACACGTCAAAAACGAAATTATTGTTGGTTTAAAACTCCAATTGAAAAAAAAACTTTACTGCTCTTTATTGTATAATCAGCAGGTTTATTGGATAATTCCGATAATCATCGGATATCGCAAGATAAGCTATCAATATATGCAGCAACAACTGGTTGGATGGAGAGGGGGGAGTATGTCTTCTGTTACAGAAGTTAAACCAATACCCCCGGAAAATGTTGACCGCCCCCCCCCCCCCCCCCGAAAATATCAAGTGTCCTTTTTATTTTTTAAAACAAACAGACTCAAATATTCAAGAGAGTTATTAAAATTGAAGCTGTGTTCTCAGTTATAGATTTGAAAAGACGAGTTAGACGAGTTGTTGCCTGTTGCTAAACTTCATTAAGCGTATGCATGTGGGATCAATGTTTAGCCATCCTGTGGGCTTAACCTTATTTAGACTATGTTGTCGTAATCTTGTTTAGACTCTGCGGGCTGTTTAAAATGCCATAAGGACGTAGGTGATAGATGAAAAACTCCAGAGTGTACATCTGGTTGGGATGGATGTAGTGGAAGCTCACGGCGTAGTCGCTGATGTTCTCAATGCCCTGGGGAGAAATACAATGGCAAGGTTTAGTTGTGATTATCATGTAAAGGTACTTTTATTTTCAAAGACATTGAAATACGTGGTATGAGTCCTAAAACTATATACAAACTCCGTCTCTCAAGCTTAGATAAGATGTGGAATGCTCTCCCAGCTTGTTTGAAAGAAATAAGGCTAGTTATTTTACACTATCTAAGTCTGGTCTCCCTCATTCCACGCCATAAAAAAACTACGTACACATACTCCAGAAAAGAAAAAACCTACGTACACATACTCCAGAAAAGAAAAAACCTACGTACACATACTCCAGAAAAGAAAAAAACCTACGTACACATACTCCAGAAAAGAAAAAAACCTAAGTACACACACTCCAGAAAAAAAATACGTACACATACTCCAGACAAGAAAAAAACCTACGTACACATACTCAAGAAAAAAGTACGTACATATAATCCAGAAAAAAAACTACGTACAAATACTCCAGAAAAAACAAGCTACTCACTCCTCTCCTAGATAAATGATCGTACTCCATGAACCACTTTGGAAAACGTGCGTTGAGAACAGTCTCTGGATTAAAACAATGAAATCTTGAACGGTTGAGTGAGTCTGTCGAGTCTTTTAACCTGACGCCAAAGTTTTGCATACACTCGCCTATATATACATCCTCAGCTTCGCCATATTCAGCGAAGATCTTGTAATCAACATAACTCTTTTCCCCAAAACGTCTTAACGCCTCCTTACTTAAGACGTATCCGGCTCCACCGCTTACATACCCTTCTCTGACGTATGCCTTAAACTTCTGCCCGAAGTAAACCGGCTGGGTAGGGTCTTCGTTGTGCAGGAGGTACCGAAGATTCTCTACGATGACGTATGTGTCGTCATCAGCTTTTAAAAACCAATCAGCGTCTTCCATGTGGTGATCGTACAGATATTTAAACGCCTGCAGGAAGGTGAAATAAAATATTCAGTAAGTATGAAAAACTACCTAAAAAGAAATGAAATGAATTGGGAAAGAAAAATATAATTTCTGAGTTTAAAAAGGTTTTCATTTTAATATTTTGAACTGACTGAGCTGTTACAAATTATATTAAATGAACTGTTGTACCCGTATTAGCTTAAACTATCTACAATCGTCTCGGATTCTTTTTCTCCGTTAAGACTCTTATATAGAGTAAAATGGTCTGTTTAAAATTTTCTGCACGAACTTAGTAAAAATAATAATAAAAATCTTACTTTTGAAACAATAAAATATCTTTTTTGACTGATAACTACAAGATTACATTGATCAGTTATTATTGGTTAGTTATTAATTATCAATTATTAAACTCTACTATAAAATGCCTGATGTACCTTCATCGTCTTGGCAGTCAGGTGTTCTCTGCCCTCTGGAACATCGAGTCCAACGGCTGGAAATTTTGGGTCAGCAACAGAACTCATGAACAGGACCAGGTTACAACGTTTGGCCCAGGTGTTCTTCACGTGGATGGCTTTACTGGCAGGATGGTCCATATGTAAGTTATTATTGTAAGTTTCCGTAGGAACTAGATCAGTGGTTCTTAACCTGGGTTCAATCGAACACTAGGGGTCGGTGAGTCAATCTCAAGGATTCAGCGACCGTCAAGAAACACATTCGAAACAGATGATTCACAATTTCGTCCGTGCGGACGATATAATTATTAAGAAGGGTTTGGTGAATGAACATATGAAACTGGTGGGGTTTGGTACCTCCAAAAGTTTACGAGTCACTGAATAAAGATCGTAAGGACACACATTTTGTGTCATGGTTAATATTGTGGAAAAAATTAGGTGAGTTTTATTTTAAATTATACCTGTGTAAAGTTGTAGGTGACGTCATAATCCAACAAGCAACTCTAACCTTGCTGTAAAGTTCTTTAGCAAGCAAATTATCATCTACATAATAAATAAACACGTCATCAGTTACACAGTAGGCTATATTGACAAATTATTACTAGCTGCATACCCGTGCTTCGCCACGGTGAATCTTTTTTTAAATGTACCAACTTGGGAACAGAACAAAACTAAGCTTACCTCCCCAGGCATAATTATTAAACATTTTTTATTGGACACCACCGTTATTAAAATGTATCCATTTTTGCTAGGAATCTAAGTGAAAATATTATTTGACAATGATCTGTTTAATATATTGTTTCAGCAATATGTTTCTATTGAACATTTTCTTCATGTTTCCTATTGTTGACGTATGGGAAAGAGTAAAAATTTTGCCAGCAACCAAAACATTTAACGGACTGACACACTACCTAGGGGGTTATATTATAGATCTGCACAAATATTCATTATATCGAAAACAAAACAAATTATTAACCCCTAACTATGTAAAGGTAAATTAACGACCATAACCATAGTGATACAGCTTCTTCTGTTGGTGAAGTTTACCTGCAGCTCCTACCAGAAGTCTTGAGAACTCTGGGTTTACATTTCTGGCATTGTTTTTACATTTGACCTGAAACAGTGATGAACATTTTAACATATAGTGATTATTAGCACTGTATACTTTTGGTTCAATGTTTATATATATATATATATATATATATATATATATATATATATATATATATATATTTACATTTGACCTGAAACAGTGATGTACATTTTAACATATAGTGATTATTAGCTCTGTATACTTTTGGTTCAATGTTTATATATATATATATATATATATATATATATATATATATATATATATATATATATATATATATATATGTATGTATGTATATATATATATATATATATATATATATATATATATAACTTCAAGTTATTTTTTATTTGTGGGAGTATTTTATCTAAAATTACGACAGATTACACTTAGATGCAATGAAAAACAACACGAAATCAGCTTTATTAAACTTTAAACAGCTACGGCGGCATCAGGACAAACTTGTAGATGAAACTTGAGTTTGAAATTTGACTTAACAAACAAAGCTGATAATGAGTGACCTTTCTTGTGTTATAAGATGTGCCTCGGACAGTCGCACTTAACGTTTTTATCTAGTGACCTGAGTTTCTTTCGGACAATTTCTAGTACGTGGGGAAGGGGGATGGCATTTGTATCATCATGGGGGTAGAACTAAAATGTAATATTTTTTCTTTTTTTTTTGTATTGAAAGTTTTTTTTAGGTGTTTGGGGATGGGGACACCGTGACTCTTACCATATCTCCCCCCCCCTCCCCAGAAAAGTGCCAAAATTACCCAGGCGACTTTATTTAATTCGTAGAGTTTTCTAAATGAAAATAAAATATTATTTTAAAAAAAAACAAGATAAATACCTACGTGGGTATTATCGGCCACTTGAAGTCCAATACTTCTAATGAGTAGATTAGTTTGTACATTCATCAGCACATAAACATACATGATGAAGGAAAAACTTAGTCCAAGACTTATCCCCAGAATGAAATGAACGCTTGTTTTCTTAAACACGGACATCACACTGAAACGGTTGAAGGAAAGTGATGGGGGTTGAGGTGTAAGAATTTTGTTGTGAGGTATACACTCTAATGCCACTGATCTTTTAAAATCTGATACAAACAGCCTAAAATCGCGCTTTTTCAACCAATACATCATTGTTTACCATTTATTGTAAGATAGAATTTTATTGTATTTATTAAACCACTGCATTCCTAGAAAACTAGAATATTTCAAAACGACCAAGATGTATAGAATATTTACATAACGTTTTATTTAATTCAGATAAATGGAAAAATAGTAAAATATTAAAAACGTCATAATAATACGTTTAAAAAATAAGAAAATAAAACAAAACGTGCTTGAATAAAAACGTTGGTCTCTCACGAATTTTTGGAGGCATGTAGAGACACTCCATATGTAATGTTCCCAGACAGAGACACTCAGTATATAGTGTTCTTTGATAGTGTCACTTAGTATATAATAATATGTACAAAATAAATATTCAAAACATGCACAATCTAATCGCTATTTAATCAGGCATTTAATATTTCATCCTTTCCGTTTAGAGACAGCTGTTCATATAGCTATTGCGCCGCCCTTCATGAAAAGCTTTAAATTGAATAATGCATTGGGTAGATAAATCGTTTAGCTGCGCATAGTTTTAAAAGCATTTCACCTATCTCATTCCTGTTTTTTTCTGTTTCTTAATATTGTAAACAACTTCAACGCTAGATGTATGTGAACTGCTCTACATCGTATGTATAACGCTCAAGAGAATAAAAACTTCTTCTTCGTTCTTAATTTTATGTGTTGGAAGGGATTCCATAGCCTATGTCCAACCAAGAACAAACTACAAGGCAGCAGTTGTTTGATTTTGGAGTTGTCTCACCTAGAAGAGTGTCTGTGTCCCCAACTAACGAGCCTCATCGGCCCGAGGGTTCGAACTCGAGACTTTTCTGTTTAGCAACCATGATCTTTACCGACCTCACATTTTGAAATACTCTTTGGAATATAAAAAGTATAGTTCCTTTTTCGAAACTGACGATTTACTGAGCAGATGAAGTAGAGTCCATCTGTTTGTTGACCAAAGGGACGGTGAGGTCAGCACTAAACCTGGCCGGTTATACTTAGCCTAAAGTACGTCAGGTACCCAACAGAGCTGTGTGGACTCAATGCTGTCGTATATACATGTAGAGTCCGGAATACGAACTCGAAACTTTCAGCTTGGCAATCGAGCGCTCTACTTACCGACCACGCCGTCCTTTAGTTTTGAATGTTATCTCCCTATAACGATAGCAAAGGCGTATCAGACGCCGCTTGATATTGTAGATGATAAGCTTAAAATGTAGGAATTTATATTGTTACTAAGTCAAGGATAAAAATGTAAAAGAAATTATTGATAAATATTTTTTATTACAAAAATAATTTAAAAGAGATGAACATCCATTGTACTTTATTTCGTGCAATTTATCAAATAAAGAGGTCAGTCACAAAAATGGAATAAAGCAATAAATATGTGTGACATAGACAGGTGGTCATGTCAAAGTGTCATGTCACTGTGTTATGCCAATGTGTCATGTCATTGAGTTATGCCAATGTGTCATATAAAAGTGTCAAATAAATGTGTCATATCAATGTATCGTGTCATTGTATCATGTCATTGTTTCATGTATATATGTTATATCATTGTGTTATATCACTGTGTTACGCCAGTGTGTCATGTCAAGTTGTCATGTCGCGGTCTTGTGTCAAGTTTCACAATTTTAAAATGTTTTTCAGCTTTTACACTGTCTTTGACAAAGTCCAACATATAAACCAAGTATAGAAACTTTTCGTCAATTTTAAACACACGCAAACCTCATACCACTTCATGCTCTATGCCTAATACAACATAAAACACAACATAAAACACAACATACTACATAGCATAGAACACTGACAAGGCTTTATGATTTTCGAGTTAACACAAACGGTTCAATGTGGAATGTATTCTTGAGAAGACTCACAATCTGTTGGTGGATTTAATAGTTTGAATGCACACACATTGTTAGGACTCTATGAAATGTGACAACTACAATGCACACACATTTTTAGGACTGTATGAAATATAACAACTACAATGTACACGCACTTTTAGGACTTTATGAAATGTGACAACTACAATGTACACATACAATGCACAATGTACACATACAATGCACAATGTACACATACAATTATGACTGTGAAATGTACACACACTCTGATGATTGTGGAATGTGACATTAGGACTAATCAACCTGAAACTTTGATGGATTAAAAGCTTTAAAGGGATATAACTGTATGATTAATAACTTAAATAATAAGGAGTTATAGCTCTTTACTCGTTCTTACTACATATTACCAAACAGTTTATTGGATGTGTCCAATAATAACACGATACTTTGGGGGTGGGGGGGGGTGAAGGAGAGAGGAGATTATACCTTTGCCGTTAACGGAGTTAGACCAATAGTTTTATTTTCCATATAGTCCGGATTTATATCTACAAACATGAGAAGGCACAACTTTTAAGCATAGCCAAACTAAAGGTTACATTCATGCTCACAAACTATAGTTTTATGACACATATTATATAGACTACAACACATAGCTTGTGTAACACATTTTCGGCACACATAAACTAATACTGATCAGAACTACTTGATACCTGACTACTGCACTTAACTTTCTAATTTTATTTACAAAAAAATTTCATTTGATAATTCAAAATTATTAAATAACATCTGTATGCTAGATTGCTAGGCTTACACTTTCTAAAAAAGTACACACAAAAATGCATGGCGATTATTAAATTGAATGCAGTACTTTCTGTTATTGATTAAAACATGGTGGATTAGATACTTCAAGCTGTTACTAAACCTCATTGAGATTATGTGGGCTCAACCATATTGTTGTTATAAGGGCTAAATTTTCAGGAGACTTTGTGGGTTAAACCATTTTTAAACTCTATGGGTTATAGCTTATTAAGACTATATGTGTGCTTTTTTTATACTCTGTGTGGGCTAAGGCTTGCTTATACTCTGTGTGGGCTAAGGCTTGTTTATACTCTGTGTGGGCTAAGGCTTGTTTATACTCTGTGTGGGCTAAGGCTTGTTTATACTATGTGTAGGCTAAGGCTTATTTAGACTCTGTGTGGGTTAAAGCTTGTTTAGACTCTGCGGACTGTTTAAAATGCCATAAGGACGTAGGTGATAGATAAAAAACTCCAGGGTGTACATCTGGTTGGGATGGATGTAGTGGAAGCTCACGGCGTAGTCGCTGATGTTCTCAATGCCCTGGGGAGAAATACAATGCGAGATGTAGAGGAGATGGGTAAGGTAAGTCAGTTAAATGGGACAGCGTGGCCCAAGCGGTAGAGCGCTAGACTGCTAACTCGAAAGTCTCGAGTTCGAATCCGGGTTTAAGTCAGTAAAACGTCCTTGAGGACACCCAACTCTGATGGGTACCTAATTCACGTTAGCGAAAGTAAAGGCGGCAGGGCAACGTGCTGACCACACCTCCCTACAAATTCCGATGTCAAGAAATATATGAAATCTATCTACTTTATCTGACCAATGGATCGATGTCCAATAAAAAAAAGGTATTCTAAGTCCTACTAGAGCTTCTCCCTCCGAGCAGTATTTAAAAGAAATGGGAGAACAAGCGCCTCCTCAAGATAAAACAAATGGTTACACATACGCATGAAACCTCTCCCAGATACTAAGCTATTTACTTACATCTATCCTAAGTACAGTTTCATCTACTCATTCTCTCCCAGATACTAAGCTATTTACTTACATCTATCCCAAGTACAGTTTCATCTACTCACCCCTCTCCCAGATACTAAGCTATTTACTTACATCTATCCCAAGTACAGTTTCATCTACTCACCCCTCTCCCAGATACTAAGCTATTTATTCACATCTCTCCCAAGTATAGTTTCATCTACTCATTCTCTCCCATATACTAAGCTATTTACTTACATCTATCCTAAGTCCAGTTTCATCTACTCATTCTCTCCCAGATACTAAGCTATTTACTTACATCTATCCTAAGTACAGTTTCATCTACTCACCCCTCTCCCAGATAAAACATCGAAATTGATGAACCACTTAGGAAAACGTGCTTTGAGCACAGTCTCTGGATTAAAACAATGAAACCTGGAACGGTTGAGCGAGTCTGTCGAGTCTTTTAACTTGACGCCCAAGTTCTGCATGCACTTCCCCATATAAACATCCTCCGGTCCGCCATCTTTGGCACAGATCTTGGCGTTTACAGAACCCTCCTCCCCAAAACGTCTTAACGCCTCCTTACTTAAGACGTATCCACCCCCACCACTTGTGTACCCCTGCCTGACGTAGGGTTTAAATCTCTGGCCAAAGTAAACCGGCTGGGCGGGATCTTCGTTTAGCAGGAGGTACCGAAGATTCTCTACGATGACGTATGTGTCGTCATCAGCTTTTAAGAACCAATCCGCGTCTTCCATGTGGTGATCGTACAGATATTTAAACGCCTGCAGGAAGGTGTGATAAAATATAACGTAATTATGAGCGTACTTTAACCTCATTAAAGTAATCAACTTTACTTAGAAGGTTAAACTTGTTTTCTAATTCTCAAAATCCTGTTCAGGCTTATGTTATGTATTTGAAGTGTTTGCAATCTGTATTATATGAATTAGTTTACCCTTGGTTGTTTACAATGTGTCAAATGTTAGTTGTTTTTTCTTTAAATTGCTTGAATTAATTCAAGACAAATTGAGCCAGTACATTGATTGTCTCTTAATAATTGTAAGAGATAATTTTAAAAAAGTTTAAGTATTTTTATTGGTACATAATAAGACATCCTAATATATATCTCTGGCTTTGATTGAAAGGTCACATTTATTAAATTACTAGCCGTCCCGGCCAGGCCCTGCTCTGGCTTCTGTGAAAAACCTTTCTGTTAAAGACCATTACCTGTGTGTTTAGTAATCATCATAAACCCGGCATTGCCCACCCAAACCACAACCAACCAAAACAACAAAACGCAAACATAACGCTAACACAATTACAAATACAAACGAAAACAAAAACCTAACAACAAACCCAACCACAACCACAAACACCAATACAAACACAAAGAAAAAACAAACAAAAAAGCAAACGAAAACAAAAACCTAACAACAAACCCAACCACAAACACCAATACCAACAAAAAAAAACAACGAAAAAGCAAACGAAAACAAACCAAATCCAAACGCAAAACCAACCAAAAACACAAATACAAACCCAAACAAAAAAACACAAACAAAAACGAAAAAAGAAAGAACGAAAACAAACCAAATCCAAAAGCAAAACCAACCAAAAACACAAATACAAACCCAAACAAAAAAAACACAAACAAAAACGAAAAAAGAAAGAACAAAAACGAACCAAATCAAAACGCAACCACTAACGCAAACCCACCTAAACACAAAGAAAACACTAACGCGAACATAAACGCCCGGGGCAGAATCGCCTGTTTTAGCTTAATAAACGACTATAGTACCCCAACTTATTCATAGTTTTTGCACTCACTTAAACGAACGCGCCTGTTTCAATTTAATGAGCAATTATAATACTCCAAGCTTATCCGTAAAATACCTACAACATTTGCACTTGATCAATCCCCGCTAATTATGTAATTATTTTTTTCCCAACACCAAAACAAAGTAATTAAAAAGTAAATGCTTTTCAACTAATGCAATGGTTTTATAAAGGGAAGTAATTGTGTTTTGCCTAATTTATCAAAGGGAAGTAAGCGCTATAGGACTAAATAAAGACATAATTAGAATTTTTGTAAAAGATGATATTTTTTTTAAAACTTGTGTTTAATGAACATGCCGACAATTATTACTATAATTTGAAAAATGAAAACTATTTCCCAACACTTTTAATAGTAATTTTTTAACTCATAAATTTAGACAAGCGCGCACGATAATTTTCTAACACTTAAATCCATTGATAACCAGCGACAAACAAACATATGCGTTACAGAATTGAGCTTTATATATTAGATATTATAAAAATTCTAGATAAGTTTTATCATCTATTAGAAACATATTTCATGGAAAAATCGATCAATTATTAAACTCTACGATAAAATTCCTGATGTACCTTCATCGTCTTGGCTGTCAGGTGTTCTCTGCCCTCTGGAACATCGAGTCCAACGGCTGGAAATTCTGGGTCAGCAACAGAACTCATGAACAGGACCAAGTTACAACGTTTGGCCCAGGTGTTCTTGATGTGGATGGCTTTACTGGTAAGATAGTCCATAGGTTAGTTATTGGCGTGAAACATGGTTGGCTATAATCGTTCAGTGAAATGTTATGAAATTTGTAATCACTGATGTTTGAACGGGATTAAAGAGTTTGTTCAATTAATCCCAAACGAGTAAATTATACCACAGGCAAAATTTGAAAAACATAATTAGTGAAAGATCGATCTCATATAAAAGTCAAAGGTTAAGAATAGTTGAAAATTAGACGTACTGAAGATTAGTTATATCGATGACGTAACGATATACCTGAGTAAAGTGTCAGGTGACGTCATGATCCAACATGCCACTCTAACCTTGCTGTGAAGTTCTTTAGCAAGCAAATCATCATCTACATAATCAACACGTCATATTATCATCTACGTAAACTATCTACACTTCATCATCTACACAATCTATTAACACATGGAACAGCGTGGTCGAACGGTAGTGCAAACGACTGCCAACCCGAAAGTCTCGAGTTCGAATATGGATTCAAGTCAGTAGAATTGAGTAGAACGTCACTGAGTCCACCCAGATATGATGTGTACACGACACATGTTAGGGGAAGTAAAGATGGCTGGGCATATTGCTGACCACATTATGCCTTCATTTGACGAGGTCACAGAAACAGATGAACTCTTCATCGACTCTCCATAGACCGTCATCGTTTTCACAATCAATCAATTAATCGTCTACACAATCTAACAACACATCATTAGATAAACATCTAATTAATCACACACTATACATCCAAATAATCCATATCTAAAAACCTGATTAACCCTCTGACTAAACAAATGTGAATAAAACGACCGTCACCATGGTGATACTGCGACTCGACCAACTTCTGCTGGTGAGGTTTACTTGCAGCTCCTACCGGAAATCGAGAAAATTCTGGGTTAATATTTCTGGCATTGTTTTCACAGTTGACCTGAAACAGTCATTGTGACAATCACTTTTTTAAAATAATACAAGCACAATTAAAAATATATTGAATGTGGTACTTTTTACTTTTTCAAATACAGAACAAAGAGGAAGTATTGTCATCGTGCACAAAAATTAAATTTTTGACAGTCTTTGCTGTTTTACACCTTTCTACTTTTTCGTTTACGGAATGTAAAGTATGTATAGCAATCGTGCAAAAAAAATCTAGACAGAAATTTTGACAAACTTTGCTATTTTACATCCCTCCGGAACGGAAAAGGGAATTTTGCCTGTATGTCTATGTGTGTGTCGTATCAGTTAAGTTGCAAAATTTCATTTAAGTAATATATCACATGTGTAATTCTGTATCAACTTTTGAGTGATTTCCAGTAACCGGAAATTGAATGTACTCCACTTCCGGTTTCCCTAAATCCAATAACTAGAGCACCGATTACGTTAGGTGAATAAAAAAATATTTTTTTTTTTAGATTTATAGAGTTTAATAATAATTGTATAATCCTACTGTGTGTGCGTGCGTGTGTGTTTGAATGTACGCATGTAAATATATGTATGCGTCTGTGTGTTTTTGTCTGATTTTACGTGTGTATGTGCGGATGTATGTGTATGTATGTATGTGTGGTTGTCAATATATAATGTGAAATGAACAATTAATTTGCCCCATATACAAAATATATTGTTTACTTGAATCCACCGATTGTTTCTGAAAGTGTCAGTTGTCTAAACTATTTTTATTTATGTGTAAACGTCAGATTACACTTAGCTACAGGTAAAAACACCAGAAGTGAAGCTTGATTAAATGGAGAAACGCTATAAAACAATACAGTACAGCATTGGGTTAGAACAATCGATCTATAGCCAAGCTTCCGGCTGATATTTGAGTTTGATATTCGACTAAACAAACAGCTAATGTGCTCTAGGTAAATAAACTATGCCCCGCTATCGTGTTTATTTTGTTGCAGGCGGGTGATTTATTGCTGGTGTGGTGTCCTACACTACCTGGGTCTACCTGTGCTAGTGCACCTGTTATTGCACACACACCCCTCTCATATGTACCTTACAACAGTGATAACACGTTTTTATACGATTTTATATTTTATGTTTCAGCTCGGGCTTCGTACTGCTTTTTTTATTGTTTTTATTACTTTTTAAGTAGAAAATTGTTTCTCTTGTATTTATTTTAATAGGGACTGTCATTCTTAATTTTTTTTTTTTTGAATATGCAGGGTTGCTTTAATCCATGTTTTGTATATGTGAGTGGAATTCTAAACTTACGAAAATTGGGAATGGGGTGGAGTGGCTGGCAATCATAAGAATGTTAAATTGTACGAATGTAATGGCAACTGCGGATTTGTTCTCGGGATGTCTAGAAGCGGTGTTTCTTCCAGACTTCTTTCTCCGGGGGAGGGGAACTTGATATTTACAGGGGTGGGGTGGACACTAATAAAAGTATATTATTATGTTTTCTATATAAATTCCATTTCGATGCCTGGAAGAAACTCTGTCTGGAAGAAACATATCAATGTCTTCAAGCGATTATCATGCATATGCATACTAAGTGAAATAAAAATATAGATCTAGTTATAAAAAAAAAGATAATAAATACCTACGTGATTATTGTTGTCCAAATGAAGTCCAATACTTCTAATGAGTAAACTGTTATGTTCATTTGTCTTCTCATAAACATACAGGATGAATGAAAAACTTAGTCCAAGACATATCCCCAGAATGAAATGAACGCTGGTTTTCTTAAAGAGGGACATAACACACTGAAACAGTTACAGGCAAGTGAAAGTTGCTGAAGTGTGAAACATTTTTAGAGGTATGAAACTAAGTCGAAACCCGGTGAACGTTTAAATGTGTTTAAAGCGGCCTAAAGATCGCGCTTTTTAGATCAATACAGTACGTCAATGGGCTACGACATAAGGGTCGTCGTTTAACGTTTACTGTAAGCCATAATTTTATTCACACAACAAAAAGTGGGTAGATGCTACACACCGTGTTAGTAGAGCTCCGTCTCACTCTTTCTCTGTCTCTTAATGTGTACAAACATACACACACACACACACACACACTTATATATATATATATATATATATATATATATATATATATATATATATATATATATATATATATATATATATATATATATATATATATATATATATATATATATATATATATGTGTGTGTGTGTGTGTGTATATATATATATATAAATGTATACATTTTTTATAATTACTTCATTTATTTATATGTATGTATATATAATTTCTTACACAATTACGGGCAAACGTACATGTTACTTGTACACAAATAAAACATCATGTTTACCTACATCAGCTTACCATTATAATCCAATCGAATTACATTTCCTTCGAATACAACCCTTGGTTGTATTTCCCTAAAGACTAAATTACACGAAAACTGGACTTTATATTTTAAATATCTAAAAAGGTATTGAAAAATCGCATAACACCACCTAATCATAAACCATCCACATAAGATATAATACTAAGCAGCAAAATAATAAACACCATCCATATTCAGAGTTTCTCCCAGGCATCTTTTCGGGGGGGGGGGGGGGGGGGGGGGCAAAGCCCCCCGAAATTTTTTTACCCCCCCCCCCCCCCCGAAGAAAGTCTACCGCCCCCCCCCTCCCCGAAAATTTCAAGTGCCCCCCCCCCCCCCCCGGAGAAAAAAGTCTGGAAGAAACACTGTCCATATTTAGGTTAGGTTCAAATTGCATTGTTCCATAAATGGGAAAAAGGCATGAAATCATACATCTGAAGGGTCGTCCATAAATGACGTCACACTTGTAGAGTGGTAGGGTGGGGGCCCGTAAATTTGTGACGGTGTGTGATAAGGGAGAGGGAAGTGTTCAGATAATGTGACATCACATTTTTGTATTATATAAAAGCCATGTTAGAAAACGAAATTCACCCGTTATATCGCGTTTTAGAAACTGTTTTAATAAATTGTAATAAAAATTGATTAGAATACTCGATGTTGACCGAACTCAGTCAAGATTTTAGAAAAACGATTTGATGTTTTAAGAAAAGTTCAACTGCAATTTTGTTTGTGTGTGTGTGGGGGGGGGGGGAGTGTAGGCTGAGGTGTAACATCATTACTAGGGGGCACTCGGAGTTTTTGTGATGATGTGTGACGGAGGGAAGGGGCAGGTAAAATTCGTCAAAAAGCGTGACGTCATTTATGGATGATGTCTTATAGTGTCTTGAAATTTAAACAACATTTAATTTAGTGAATAAATTAAACTAGTCGGAATAAAGTATAGTCCTAAATCTTACCTAAGTAAATCGCTAACTTAATGAAATAAATAAAATAATCCGAGTTTACAATAAAAATGGTACAACTCACCTGAGCATACAGAGCAACTAACTTACCTAAATAAAAACATGGACTACCACGAAAAAGAAAAAAATGTAAATAATGACATCGATGACATAATGACGACAAAAAGTAGATTACCACCTCTAAACGGATCCGCTGGCAGTACAGCATCATAATGTGACCTAATTACGTCACTAGCAGTAAGAAATCAAGGCTGTACTGTAGCTCATGTCATGTTTACGTCAACAAAGACGCATGCGTGGATCAGTCAGCCCAGTCGCCATAATGTTTGTGTAGAGCAGGGGTCTCCAAACTTTTCAGCCCCAGGGCCGCATTAACTATCAGATATCAGTTCAGGGGCCAGAGTTTCTTCCATGCATCTCTTTGGGGTGGCGGTATCCCCGAACCCCCTCCCCCCCCCCCCCCAACGAAATATATACACATTTTAAATGCAACCCCCCCCCCCTTACCCTGGAGAAAAAGTTTGAAAGAAACATTGTCGGGGGCCAACAACACACTCGAGGTCCAAGTATGTTCTCCTTGGGCAAACACAAAAACCCACCCGCCATTTTTGAACTTGTCTCTAAGGAGGTAATTTGCTTGCTGTTCAATGACCTCCATCTTCAGTTCATCTTGGCAACAGGTTACATTTGCTTCAAATGGGTTTTGAAACAGTCTCACTTCTGCCTTTGAATCCTAGTCAGAAAACCGCTACTGAAACTGCAGTTGGAGGTCTTGTTAGCAGTTTTCACTATTTGAGTCACAATGTTTCCATCAATGTCTGCAACACGGAGGGCAATGGTATTTGCACCCAAAGCTACATTTTCAAATTGTTTTGAATTTTCGGGGCAAAGCTCCTCAGCCATTTCTAACAAACATTTTTCTCCGTGAACAAAAAGATCTCCGCGGGCCGGATAAGAGGACCTCGCGGGCCGCATCCGGCCCGCGGGCCGTAGTTTGGAGACCCCTGGTGTAGAGGCAAGACATCCATTGCTGTTTGCAAATGTGTGTAAAATTTTATGGCATTCGTATGTAATACCAAGTATCGGTCATGATTAACGGTGGCCAAATAAAAACTATTTGTCTATCAGAAGTGCTTAATGCATATCTACCTTTTGTATAAAGTGCTTGTCCATAAAAGATAACACGAATCGTTACCATTTGTATCATTTTTCCCCGTGATACATTGTTTGCAAAACACTTGGCACCGTCATTAACACGCTCTCATAATCACACACCCTCCCCTTAAACCACTATTCTTAAAAACATTTTTTTTAGATTATTTTATGAATTTTACGTCATAGATCTAACTCCCTACCCCTCCCTTCAATCTCTCCACCCCCTCCCAACTGACCTTATAGATACAAAAACATAAATTACTCCTGCCCCTTAGCTGCGTGAGGTCATTTAACGTGCGCCTCCCAAAATGTAATGCTTAACATCTGACCTTGTTGACCCTAGTCCACACCACGCCCACCATGTCGCAATAACTCATGAAACACAAGGAATAAACAGACCCCACGTGATCAACAAGATGGCCGCTAAGCTGGATTTAGGTTAATGAATAATTCAGGTGAACTAAATCATGGAATTCTAAAAACGTATTTTAAACACTCAAGAAAAAAAGCAACACTTCAGCTAATAAAACACTATAGATTGTCACAAAAAAAAAAACATCAGCTAATAGATTATGCTGTGGATTATTACACAAACTACTTTAGCTATGTTGGTGCACTGTATAACGAAAGTAACCCTTTCGGACCCAGTAGTTAAAGTGGCAGATGAAGGTTTCTTTGTTTCTGTGATCTCGTCAAACAATCTTTCCCCCCTCCCACACACACACACACACGGGCGAAATATAATTTATCTAAAACTATATATTTTTAAGTAACTTTTACCAGTATCCACCTCCCCTTCCCCATCCCCGGAGAAAAAAGTCTGAAAGAAACACTGTCGTCTAAAGATAGGGTATTGTGGTCAGCTCTATGACAAGCCGCCTTTTTTTTCCCTATCATGGGTCAGGTACGCATCTGTGCTGGGTGGACTCTGGGACGTCATACTGACTCCAGCGTGTGTTCTGAATCTTTCTTGTTAGTATCCAACTTGGCCGTCCCACTGTAAGCTGTTACACAAAATCTCTCCATTGAAGAGAATATAGTGTAGATATTAAAAAAAAAAACAGTTGTAGATATTTACTTAAACTTCGGTTACTAGAGTACACTGCACATAATTACAAAACACCACTACAGTTTTATATTACACTTGAAACTGTTACAAACGATCTGATAATTATTTCCTGAGATCGGAGCGAACATTGTTTAATGTTTCAATCATTTTAATGGTACTGAAAAATATCGTATGTCAAATATATTAAAATAGTTTACAGAAAAATGGTGTTTGTTACATATATTAAAATAGTGTATAGAAATAATGGTGAATGTGACATAATTATACTAAAATAGTGTACAAATAAATGGTGTATCTATATTATGTCACATGTATTATAATCTTGTAAAGAGAGATTATGTGTAGTGTATGTTCCTGGCAATAATGTTTCAAATGAAAAGACAGTTCGTTTGCTATAAATGCCTATATGGCACTATATTCTAAAGAAATTTCATGCGTATTTTACCAAAAGTAATATAAAGAAACAAGTCATCTGAATTTTACATATAATAACCTATCATAGAGTAAAAAGTTGTTGATAGATTGTTGATAGATTGTTTTATTTATAATTTAAATTAAAAAAAAAAAACTGCAACGTTAGCTATATTGAATTATTCTTCAACCAGCTGTAATGGGGTATACTTTAGCCCTTATCTCCACGTCATGTTTCTGTATTGTCATACCGTCCTTTTTATTTTTTTTAAACAAGTTTAGGATTAAGATTGAGGTTAAGTTTAAGTTTAAAATCAGGCCTAGAACGCCCATAACATGAATAGTCACCTTTACCGACTCGACCAAGCCGACATCCCACAACCACTCCAATACTTTGGAATCTTTAGTTTAGTGTCACCCTCTCCCCCACTATATTATTATTTAACTGGAATAACATTACTATAACAGTAATTTGTATCATGTTTCGTCGAGGTGTCACCTTTAAATAGTGTCACCCGGTGCGGAGCGAACCCTCGTTCCCCCCCACCCCCCCCCCCCCCCCCCCCCGCCTGCCTTTTTCAACAGTAAGGACTACAATTTGACATGGAGTAAGTTGAACAGTAAGACAACAATTTGAAACTAGTTCATCAGACTAACAGATCAGATCAATTAGCAGCTCATTACGTGACGTCATCTCTCAGCTTATCACCTGCGTCAAAATATTTTTTTTTTAAATTTGTTGTCTCAAAGTTAATTTTAAAGCCTGAAAACATACGCTCTACGGTCTTATTGATATAGAATCTAACAGCGAGCTTTTTAAACCAACTTAAAAAAAGAAAATAAACGTAATTTAATTTAACCAATATAGTAAAAGTAAAAGCATGTGTTGTTGAGAAAGTCTCTTCATTATTTATACATTTAGCGGTGTCTTCATTACTTTTACCCTTAAGAATGTATTTTCTGGATGACTATTGTTCCCTAACACTAATCAGAGCGATAAACAGATAGGATTCTCTAATTGATGCACTCACTATACTGGCTAACCTGACAGATCGAGGCACTCAATATACTGGCTTGTGTGACAGATGCACTCAATATACTGGCTTGTGTGACAGATGCACTCAATATACTGGCTTGTCTGACAAATTGAGGCACTCAATATACTGGCTTGTCTGACAAATGCACTCAATATACTGGCTTGTGTGACAGATTGAGGCACTCAATATACTGGCTTGTGTGACAGATGCACTCAATATACTGGCTTGTGTGACAGATCGAGGCACTCAATATACTGGCTTGTGTGACAGATGCACTCAATATACTGGCTTGTGTGACAGATGCACTCAATATACTGGCTTGTGTGACAGATTGAGGCACTCAATATACTGGCTTGTGTGACAGATGCACTCAATATACTGGCTTGTGTGGCAGATGCACTCAATATACTGGCTTGTGTGACAGATGCACTCAATATACTGGCTTGTGTGACAGATGCACTCAATATACTGGCTTGTGTGACAGATTGAGGCACTCACTATACTGGCTTGTGTGACAGATGCACTCAATATACTGGCTTGTGTGACAGATGCACTCAATATACTGGCTTGTGTGACAGAGGCACTTAATATACTGGCTTGTGCGACAGATCGAGGCACTCAATATACTGGCTTGTGTGACAGATGCACTCAATATACCGGCTTGTGTGACGACAGATCGAGGCACTCAATATACTGGCTTGTGTGACAGATGCACTCAATATACTGGCTTGTGTGACAGATGCACTCAATATACTGGCTTGTGTGACAGATGCACTCAATATACTGGCTTGTGTGACAGATTGAGGCACTCAATATACTGGCTTGTGTGACAGATTGAGGCACTCAATATACTGGCTTGTGTGACAGATTGAGGCACTCAATATACTGGCTTGTGTGACAGATTGAGGCACTCAATATACTGGCTTGTGTGACAGATCGAGGCACTCAATATACTGGCTTGTGTGACAAATGCACTCAATATACTGGCTTGTGTGACAGATTGAGGCACTCAATATACTGGCTTGTGTGACAAATGCACTCAATATACTGGCTTGTGTGACAGATGCACTCAATATACTGGCTTGTGTGACAGATTGAGGCACTCAATATACTGGCTTGTGTGACAGATTGAGGCACTCAATATACTGGCTTGTGTGACAAATGCACTCAATATACTGGCTTGTGTGACAAATGCACTCAATATACTGGCTTGTGTGACAGATGCACTCAATATACTGGCTTGTGTGACAGATGCACTCAATATACTGGCTTGTGTGACAGATTGAGGCACTCAATATACTGGCGTGTGTGACAGATTGAGGCACTCAATATACTGGCTTGTGTGACAGATGCACTCAATATACTGGCTTGTGTGACAGATCGAGGCACTCAATATACTGGCTTGTGTGACAGATGCACTCAATATACTGGCTTGTGTGACAGATGCACTCAATATACTGGCTTGTGTGACAGATCGAGGCACTCAATATACTGGCTTGTGTGACAGATGCACTCAATATACTGGCTTGTGTGACAGATTGAGGCACTCACTATACTGGCTTGTGTGACAAATGCACTCAATATACTGGCTTGTGTGACAGATGCACTCAATATACTGGCGTGTGTGACAGATTGAGGCACTCAATATACTGGCTTGTGTGACAGATGCACTCAATATACTGGCTTGTGTGACAGATCGAGGCACTCAATATACTGGCTTGTGTGACAGATGCACTCAATATACTGGCTTGTGTGACAAATGCACTCAATATACTGGCTTGTGTGACAGATGCACTCAAAATTCTGGCTTGTGTGACAGATTGAGGCACTCAATATACTGACTTGTGTGACAGATCTAGGCACTCAATATACTGGCTTGTGTGACAGATGCACTCAATATACTGGCTTGTGTGACAGATGCACTCAATATACTGGCTTGTGTGACAGATGCACTCAATATACTGGCTTGTGTGACAGATTGAGGCACTCACTATACTGGCTTGTGTGACAGATCTAGGCACTCAATATACTGGCTTGTGTGACAGATGCACTCAATATACTGGCTTGTGTGACAGATGCACTCAATATACTGGCTTGTGTGACGGATGCACTCAATATACTGGCTTGTGTGACAGATGCACTCAATATACTGGCTTGTGTGACAGATGCACTCAATATACTGGCTTGTGTGACAGATCGAGGCAATCAATATACTGGCTTGTGTGACAGATTGAGGCACTCAATATACTGGCTTGTGTGACAAATGCACTCAATATACTGGCTTGTGTGACAGATCGAGGCACTCAATATACTGGCTTGTGTGACAGATGCATTCAATATACTGGCTTGTGTGACAGATTGAGGCACTCAATAAACTGGCTTGTGTGACAAATGCACTCAATATACTGGCTTGTGTGACAGATGCACTCAATATACTGGCTTGTGTGATAAATGCACTCAATATACTGGCTTGTGTGACAGATTGAGGCACTCAATATACTGGCTTGTGTGACAGAGGCACTCAATATACTGGCTTGTGTGACAGATCGAGGCACTCAATATACTGGCTTGTGTGACAGATGCATTCAATATACTGGCTTGTGTGACAGATTGAGGCACTCAATAAACTGGCTTGTGTGACAAATGCACTCAATATACTGGCTTGTGTGACAGATGCACTCAATATACTGGCTTGTGTGACAAATGCACTCAATATACTGGCTTGTGTGACAGATTGAGGCACTCAATATACTGGCTTGTGTGACAGAGGCACTCAATATACTGGCTTGTGTGACAGATCGAGGCACTCAATATACTGGCTTGTGTGACAGATGCACTCAATATACTGGCTTGTGTGACAGATCGAGGCACTCAATATACTGGCTTGTGTGACAGATTGAGGCACTCAATATACTGGCTTGTGTGACAGATGCACTCAATATACTGGCTTGTGTGACAGATGCATTCAATATACTGGCTTGTGTGACAGATCGAGGCACTCAATATACTGGCTTGTGTGACAGATGCACTCAATATACTGGCTTGTGTGACAGATGCACTCAATATACTGGCTTGTGTGCCAGATCGAGGCACTCAATATACTGGCTTGTGTGACAGATGCACTCAATATACTGGCTTGTGTGACAGATGTATTCAATATACTGGCTTGTGTGACAGATCGAGGCACTCAATATACTGGCTAACCTGACAGATTGAGGCACTCAATATACTGGCTTGTGTGACAAATGCACTCAATATACTGGCTTGTGTGACAAATACACTCAATATACTGGCTTGTGTGACAGATGAACTCAATATACTGGCTAACCTGACAGATTGAGGCACTCAATATACTGGCTTGTGTGACAAATGCACTCAATATACTGGTTTGTGTGACAGATGCACTCAATATACTGGCTTGTGTGACAGATTGAGGCACTCAATATACTGGCTTGTGTGACAAATTGAGGCACTCAATATACTGGCTTGTCTGACAAATGCAATCAATATACTGGCTTGTGTGACAGATGCACTCAATATACTGGCTTGTGTGACAGATGCACTCAATATACTGGCTTGTGTGACAGATGCACTCAATATACTGGCTTGTGTGACAGATGCACTCAATATACTGGCTTGTGTGACAGATGCACTCAATATACTGGCTTGTGTGACAGATGCACTCAATATACTGGCTTGTGTGACAGACTGAGGCACTCAATATACTGGCTTGTGTGACAGATGCACTCAATATACTGGCTTGTGTGACAGATTGAGGCACTCAATATACTGGCTTGTGTGACAGATGCACTCAATATACTTGCTTGTGTAACAGATCGAGGCACTCAATACACTAGCTTGTCTGACAAATACACTCAATATACTGGCTTGTGTGATAAATACACTCAATATACTGGCTTGTGTGACAGATAGAGGCACTCAATATACTGGCTTGTGTGACAGATTGAGGCACTCAATATACTGGCTTGTGTGACAGATAGAGGCACTCAATATACTGGCTTGTGTGACAGATTGAGGCACTCAATATACTGGCTTGTGTGACAGATAGAGGCACTCAATATTCTGGCTTGTGTGACAGATGCACTCAATATACTGGCTTGTGTGACAGATCGAGGCACTCAATATACTGGCTAACCTGACAGATTGAGGCACTCAATATACTGGCTTGTGTGACAGATTGAGGCACTCAATATACTGGCTTGTGTGACAGATCGAGGCACATAATATACTGGCTTGTATGACAGATGCACTCAATATACTGGCTTGTGTGACAGATTGAGGCACTCAATATACTGGCTTGTGTGACAGATTGAGGCACTCAATATACTGGCTTGTGTGACAGATTGAGGCACTCAATATACTGGCTTGTGTGACAGATTGAGGCACTCAATATACTGGCTTGTGTGACAAATGCACTCAATATACTGGCTTGTGTGACAGATGCACTCAATATACTGGCTTGTGTGACAAATGCACTCAATATACTGGCTTGTGTGACAGATGCACTCAATATACTGGCTTGTGTGACAGATTGAGGCACTCAATATACTGGCTTGTGTGACAGATTGAGGCACTCAATATACTGGCTTGTGTGACAAATGCACTCAATATACTGGCTTGTGTGACAAATGCACTCAATATACTGGCTTGTGTGACAGATGCACTCAATATACTGGCTTGTGTGACAGATGCACTCAATATACTGGCTTGTGTGACAGATTGAGGCACTCAATATACTGGCGTGTGTGACAGATTGAGGCACTCAATATACTGGCTTGTGTGACAGATGCACTCAATATACTGGCTTGTGTGACAGATGCATTCAATATACTGGCTTGTGTGACAGATTGAGGCACTCAATATACTGGCTAACCTGACAGATGCACTCAATATACTGGCTTGTGTGACAAATGCACTCAATATACTGGCTTGTGTGACAGATCGAGGCACTCAATATACTGGCTTGTCTGACAAATACACTCAATATACTGGCTTGTGCGACAAATACACTCAATATACTGGCTTGTGTGACAGATTGAGGCACTCAATATACTGGCTTGTGTGACAAATACACTCAATATACATGGTTCATTAAAAATACACTATACACTCAACCAGTGCCGGCGCCAGGTTACTTAGCGCCCTAGGCAAAACTTATTAAAAACGCCCCCCCCCCCCCGCAATTTTTTACGTGCCACCCTATTATCAGAGGCGTAGCGATCCTCTTCGGCGCCCGGGGACAAACTTTCGATTTGCACCCCCCCCCCTCAAACTTTCGATTTGCACCCCCCCCCCCTGATTTGCACCCCCCCTTCCTCAAACTTTCAATTTGTTTTTCCAACCGATTTTGGCGCCCCCCCCCTTCCCTACGGACAGCGCCCTTGGCGACCGCCTAGTTCGCCTTTTAGGTAGCGCCGGCCCTGCACTCAACATTAACCAGAAACCAAATTTAGATATAGAGAGAGATGTGATGAACGCGACTTTGACCAAATAAATTATGAAGTCGCAAAAATTTTGTGTTTCAATTAAATAAAATTGCAGTAGAGGCTATATTAGCTTAGGCTTGTGGTGGAGCTGTGTGACATTATTTTCTGATGTCATTCAACTTTTTGTGTTTGTTTTATAATTTTAATCGAAGATTTCGCTTATCATGTAATGCAGGGGTCTCCAAACTACGGCCAGCGGGCCGAATGCGGCCCGCGAGGTCCTCTCACTCGGACCGCGGAGATATTTTTGTCCACGGAAAAAAACGTTTGTTGGTGATGGCTGCGGAACTTTGCCCAGAAAAATCAAAGACATGCCTGGAAGAAACTGGCCCCCGAACTGACATTTGATAACTAATGCGGCCCTCGGACTGAAAAGTTTGGAGACCCCTGATGTAATGTATGGCTAATGTCTGAAAATGGCTAGGCCTACTTGTGGTGCAGGTAAATTAAAAGTGGCCAACAGTATTCAGCATGCATGTTACCAACTTCACCTACAATAAAAGAAAGAAAATCTAAAAATGTGTATTGGATGCATTTTGCCTTATGTTTCTTTTAAAATGTCTTCCATTTTTAATTTTTTTTAATTACTATGATCTACTGTGTGTGAAAAACCTGACTTACGCAAACTTATATGCCAGCTGTTTCCGGCAGACATTTGTTTACGAGATATAAATAGATTCATAGATTCCTATCGAATGTGTTGTTGTTGATGTGTGTAACGTAGGAGTCCACAGAAAAATTGTCTAACAATTGTCAAAATCGATCCAGAGATCTAGGATCTAAGGTCTCTACATCTCTATAAACATTCTAGATCTATAGTAAAATAATTCAGTAGCCTATTTCATAGCTCTACTCTAAACTCTAAGAAGTAAGACAGTAAAAAAACTAAAAAGAAGGGTAGACTAATTCTAATTTTTTAGGCCTTCTATACCTAGGCCTACTACTACTAGAATCTAGAATCTAGATCTAATTTTTAAATAATAGCAAACAGTTGAAACTTGAAACAGTTAAACAAATCTAGGAGACTACATTAATATTATTTATTAAATATTAGGCCTAGGCCTATAGGTTTAAGTTTTCTGTGTGTAAAAAAATGTGAACAAAAGGTGATTTGTGTCATTACATTTTTATTTTAGTAACCTAATTATTTCGCAATTTTATGAGGATTAGCCTTAGCCCTTAATGATTAATTAATTAGGCCTAATGTTATTGTTATCTAAGCCGCCATCTTTTTAAAGTTTATTTTTTGTAAATTATATCTAAATTTCAGGGGAAACAACTCTAGTTTACAGATGGCCAGTGTTTAAAGTTAATTTCTGGCCAATATTGATTTTATATTTAGACACAGTGTTTTGTTTTACTAAATTATCTTTCAGGCCTATTTAATACTTATATTATAATCCACGTTATTATATGTATTAGGCCTACCTAGGCCTACATCTAATGTAGACCTATTATATTAAAGCTATATTGTCATATTCACCTTTCTTTCACATTACTTTACTAGCATCAGACGGTTTTACGTACCTAAAATGATAGCGAACCAAAATCTAGATTCATTTATTCTACATCAAGTTTAAAATTTAATAGGCCTACAAAATAAACAAGTGAATAAAAAGTCTACTGACAATTTAAGCACAATTTCCTTATGTTATCCATAACAATTTTAATTCGAGATTAATCATATATTCAGCAACAGAAATAGTTTTATTTTAACAAGTAGGCCTACATGATGCTCAGTTTAAAAAAAAAATACAACTATATTAACCTATATCAACGAGTAGGCCTACACGATGCTCAGTTTAAAAAAGTAGTAAATATTTCTTAATTAATTTTTTGTGACCGAACGAAAGGATATTTTTGAAAACTTTCTCGGCAATATTGTTCTAAATTATGGCAGGAATCGATTGGTAAATGTTTCAAGTCGCTAAGTGGTCTGGTTGCCGAGATATGGGCAAAAAACTGCATTTTTTCGAGGTTTTTTGGCTTTTCCGGGAAATCCAGTAAGGAATTCTGGGAATTCTTTCGGCCCACAATCATCCTCGGAACTTGCTTAACATATTTGCTTTTTGGAACTAGTCCTCGATATTGCTTCATTGAGGAGGAGATAAGACTTAAAGCTGCGGACACACATCCATCCATCCATCCATCCAGAAATGACGCATTATTAAACGCAATTGCCAGTATGGAAATTGCGCTAAAAAATTAGTTAGTAAGGATTTAGGCTAAATTCCTGTTTTAATTATTAATTAATTTGGGTCTTGGTAAAATGGAAGGCAAGAAATGGTAAGGCAGTAAAATACGAGAAAGGTGCAAAAACAGCCTGACACACGACATTTCTGTCTCTCATTTCACCCCCAACTGATTGGTAGGCTTAGGGGTAACTTGCACTATCTGAATAAAAAATGTCCATACCTTAATTGAATGAATTCCAACATGCCAATGATTTACATGAACTTTGCTGAAAACTTTAATTTTGAGACACTTAATTTATGTCTATTTTATAAGATAGCCACTCACCGCAAACATATTTCAAGTCCAATGAATTTGATGTTCCAATTTTAACCACTCTCAAAATTCTTTCTTTTGTGTTGACTTTGAATACCACGTCACTCAAAACACGAAGGGCCTACTGTATTTTAAATTAACATGTGCGGTCAGCACTATGCCCAGCTGCCTTAGTTTCCCTGATGAGAGTCAGGTACCCATCAGATGTGGGTTGGTTCAGGAACGTCCTACGACTCAAGCCTGATAAATACATACATGACTAACTTATTTATTAAATTCACACCTTACTCACTAATAGAAATTGTCAGTAACTTTTTATTACGTTGCTATCAATTATATTTAATGTAAATATAAATTAAGATCATTTTATTAACAAAAAGTTGATAGTCCATAACATTATAAGCAGTGTGTAACCCAAACTTACCTCTTTACCCATAGTCTTCACTCTAGCCCTTAAATCTCACCATACTTGACTTATTCCTTTGTGAAGCATGTGGGGGCAAAGGGCTGCAGCTATACCACTCTACTAGACTCTGTTTTGCACATCTGTTTTGGGCAGCTCTGTTTATTTGTGTGCCCATCACCCCTTGCTTCTCCTTCCACTGTCCTGCTCCAGGATTGTTTTGGTCTGCCTACTTGTTTTCCCAAGTTTCACCACCATGCTAGTTTATCAGACTCAAGTTGTTAAACAAATAAGCTTTTATCAAGTCCAACAGTGAAAAATATTACACTGCATTTGAATTAAACTGAAGTGCCACAATACCATATATGTTGATGTTTTTATTTTTTCTATATCTCTTTTGTAGTAGTTTAACAAAGATAATAGTTTGAGGAAGTCTTGTTCTATAATTTATTGTTCAATATTAAATACTTTCTTACTTTTTTTGTAGGTTTTCAAGGCAATAATTATGCGGACTTTAAATGCTAGAGGCCCCTGCTGACTTTAGACAACAACTGTGATAAAAGTGGCGGATGATCTAGAACCAATCATGCCTCGCAAAAGTGTAGATAAAGTCTCCACTAAATATAAGAGGCTGGGAAATACTCTATCTGGAGATGGCTTTGTGGATATGCAGGTTGTTTAATTAAACATAACTTTTTTTAGATACAAATATTCTTTTATAAAAAAACAAATTTGAAGCATTGGGTATCTTAAACTCTAATTTGGCCTACACTGAACATATCAATTTCAAATCACTCATCACATTGATTCAATTTGAAATCACTCATCACATTGATTGAATGTGAAATCACTCATCACATTAATTCAATGTGAAATTTATCCTTTAAAATAAGTCCTTTGCAATTATGAGGTGTGTTATTTATAATCACATTTATTGTAAAATTCTGAGGCAGATGTGTGATTTAATAGGTGTAACACATAAAAAAATAAAAAAAATAGTTCATGCTTGATATTTTAAAGTTGGGAAATTTTCTGGTGATCAACAACAATGACCATATTCTACCCGCCATAGTTGTTTTATTTTATCTCAGCCTGTACCAGCACCAAATCAACAGGTTGTGTTGTGGCACCATGTGTTCTGACAGCTGGTGCAGTCACTAACCAAGAATTACAATAGGGCGGCTTTTGTTTTAATTCATTTAGCCAAAGTATCACTGTAGTGGTTGGTGCACACATTAGCAGAGAGTTAAATAGGGCGGCTTTTGTTTTAATTCATTTAGCCAAAGTATCACTGTAGTGGTTGGTGCACACATTAGCAGAGAGTTAAATTACAATAGGGCGGCTTTTGTTTTAATTCATTTAGCCTAAGTATCACTGTAGTGGTTGGTGCACACATTAGCAGAGAGTTGAATTACAATAGGGCGGCTTTTGTTTTAATTCATTTAGCCTAAGTATCACTGTAGTGGTTGGTGCACACATTAGCAGAGAGTTAAATTACAATAGGGCGGCTTTTGTTTTAATTCATTTAGCCAAAGTATCACTGTAGTGGTTGGTGCACACATTAGCAGAGAGTTAAATAGGGCGGCTTTTGTTTTAATTCATTTAGCCAAAGTATCACTGTAGTGGTTGGTGCACACATTAGCAGAGAGTTAAATTACAATAGGGCAGCTTTTGTTTTAGTCATTCACCTTAAAGTGAACATGTAGCTTTATATTGTTAATTGTGAGCTTTAATAAAATTAAATGACAACTTTAAAGCTAGTAATATTGTCTAGAAATATTTACTTTAAGCCTGTTGAAGAGATAAAGTTATGAAGCACACTTGATGTGTTTCTGCTACTTGTTGAGCAGTCTAAGGTGCAGTTGATTCACATTTCCAAGCTCTTCAAAAAAAAATTCTTTTGAAAGTTTAAATGTGTAATGACCTCAATGGAGCTTAACTAGTTGACACGTATACTTAATTGTGCTGGAGGGGATCCCTTCCAACACTAAAATTAAGAACGAGAAAGAAAAAAATTCCAAGTGATAGGAGGTCATTAATGATTACGAGCTGACCCGCCATGTAGTATACGCCGCCATCTACTTGTTTTATTTTCTGCTTATCAGCAATTCATAATTTGTGAATTCAACACTACCCACTCCCCCCCCCCTCCCGCCCAGTGAAAGCAGCCGTTTACAGACACAGAAAAGATCAAACAGAAATTGTTACCTCCCCTTCGTTTCAAATCTTTTAATACTAAATTATCTGCCCCTAATAGCCGTCACTAACCCGGCTCTACTATTGTAAACATTCAGGGTGAACCACAGCTCACTTGACAGGTGGGGTTGAGGGTGGTGGCTAAGCTGCGTGGTGTTTTCTATGGTCTCCATGAAGAGAATTATATATATATAGATAATAACCTAGGCTGGACAATATAGTATTGTACCAAGATGTTTACCTCCCCTGGTACTGTTGTTATCATCAGTGATTGGGTTGGTGATGGGCTGGTCATTGAGGTGAAACATAATCTTTTACACATTCTGCTGAAAGTTTAGTAAGTGCCTAAATGATAGCCAACTCCTGGCTAAAATTAGATCAGGTAACTTCTTGCTCAATTAACTCCTGGCTAAAATTAGATCAGGTAACTTCTTGCACAATTAACTACTGGCTAAAATTAGATCAGGTAACTTCTTGCTCAATTAACTACTGGCTAAAATGACATTGCTTGCTCCATAAAAAAGCATGTTCTCTTTCAGTTTGAGAAACCAGCTCCTAAGGTACCATACAAGGCAATTCTTTTGGCTACTGGTCTCTTTGTTTGTGGCAGTGTTCTGATTATTGTAGGCTCTTTGTTGCTCACAGGCTACATTAATGCTCAGGTAAGGGTCAAGTATTCTACAGTATTCTAATCTGCTACTATGTACAGTCTCTGATTTGTTTTTATCTACAGTATTCTTATCACACATACATTCTCATACAACTACCTACTGTTTTATCTACAGTATTCTGATCGTACATACATTCACATATAGCTACCTATTGTTTTATCTACAGTATTCTGATCGTACATACATTCACATATAACTACCTATTGTTTTACCTACAGTATTCTGATCGTACATGGCCCCTCCTGCTACTTGGTAGTCTGATGTTCATCCCTGGTGCCTACCATGTCCGCATAGCGTACTATGCATATAAAGGCTATGATGGATTCACATATGATGACATTCCAGAATTTGAATAACTGCACATTTCGATATACTATTTATCTATCAATAACATAATGAGGCAATATAACAAATTATTAATTGTGTTTTTATAAACACATTAATTGAGGGATTTTCTTCTGCAAGGAAGTATATGGTCTTGTGATTTTTTTTTTTACATAAACATTTATTTCTCCATTTCATTTTGAAATTTTAATGAGGTTTTTGAAAACCCTGAAGGTAAGGTTACATCTGAATAATAAGCGCTAGTGTCTCTCTAGTCAACTCTGCATTGGTTAAGTTGAAGGAGAAATCTTGTATTGAGTGCTGTGTAACACATAACAACTTAATGGCAGATCATTGTGGGGATGCATACAATTTTATTGACTGGCATTTACCACACAAGACATTTTTAAATGATCCATTTCCCTTTCTGTAATTAATTTCATGCAAAATGGCATTTAAATACATGATAGTAATTAGATATTTGAATAAAACTCACTTCTGCTTTCATTTAGTTTTAAAATATCAATTTGTGTACACTTAATTAAATTAGTCACTTGAACAAATTTTTCAAAAATGTATTCATTTTTTAATCAACAAATGAAAAGTTAAAATACATGATAAATATATAATTTTCGAAGCATTGAAACTCTCATGCATACTTTTGTTTGGTGAGTAATTCCATTGTCTAGAACAAATAATTTAAAATGTTACATGCAAGTTTTTCTTTGATTTAATACAACAAAAGCTAAAGGCTTGAAAAATGTATACGTTTTTTTGGACATGGGCAGTTAAGTCTTTATGGTACTTTTGGAATGATGTGTGGTTAAGTTTGTGGGTTTTTCCTGGATATGACATGTGTGGCTAGTTGTGGGCTTGTCTTGGAAATGACATTTGTGGTGTCTGGGGGCAAGTTTTGGACATGACATTTGTAGAAACCTCATTGTAGAATACAAAATAAATGCAAGAATTTTGTATTTGTACAAAGGTTATGGTGTCACAATGTCACAAAACATATTTTATAGCCTTGGTGTTATATTTGTGTCACAATATCAGATGTGTATACAAACAAAAAAATCTATCAGAAATTTGTGCTTTTCTGAACTCCATTTTTTTTTCATCTACTCTGGAGTATGAGTTATATTTTAACATCTGTTATATATTCTATTAATAAATACTGCACTTAAGCTTGATTTAGCTTTTGTTATAATTTTAGTTCATGTATAACTTTAAAGATGAAATTGTTGTTATAATTTTAGTTGATGCATAAGTTTAAAGATCAATTTTTTTGTCATAATTTTAATTGAGGTAAAACATTCTCACTTAAGATTGATTAGATTCTGTTATAATTTCAGCTAAGGTATAACTTTATAGATCAAGTTTTTGTTATCAGTTTAGTTATTGTTATACATTTAGGTGAGGTATAACATTTTCACTAAGATTGATTAGTTATTGTTAAAAATTTGGTTGAGGTATACTTTAAAGACCTAGAAATAATTTCAGACCCTTTTATTTTTGTTTGTTATTTTGGTTAAAATGTTATTTATTGTTTTATTGCTTGCATTTTTTTTGTTATTGTGAATTCTGATCACCTTTTCTAATTAAAATTTTATATTTATCTAATTTGCATTGTTTTTTTTACACAGTTTCCTTATGAACTAGTATTTATTTTGAGGAATATCTGTCTACATTAATTCCATACAATTTTAAGTTTTGCTACACAGAAAAGTCACCTGTTATATATTATATAGGTGATATATTTTATTGCTTAATGCTTGTATTAATATATATATATATATATATATATATATATATATATATATATATATATATATATATATATATATATATATATATATATATATATATATATATATATATATATATATATATATATATATATATATATATATATATATATATACAAAATGCCTGGCCTTGACATAAAAGCTATATGCATGTCTTTTTAAAGGTTTCCTATTATTTTGAAGTATAAAAATACCTTGTAAATAATATCTAACTTCTAACTTGACTGGTTGGCTTACCAGGACTTCTAAAACATCCATTAAATGGTATCAGTATTGTTCTGTGATACATCTTTTTTATTATGACAGTCTTTGGCTGTGAGACTTGGCTTAATTAGAAGTGTAATACTGAAAACGAGCTATTGGGGGAAAAAAAATCCACAACACTTGTATATTATTTTGTAGGTGTTTATTCTTGACAAAAATAATATTCATAAAAATTTGCATTAAAATATATTTAAACTATTAAAAAGATGACTGAAATGAAATAAATTAATAGCGGCTATTTTATTTCGACATGTTCTTCCGACTTAATTTTTTTTTCTCCCGTTCATTAAAGTATGCAATTGTTGTGTAATATTTTTACTACAATTGTTAGTAATATTGTATACTAGATCTATATGGGGGGGGGGATGTTTACATGGAGGGGGCGATCAGTTTATTTTGAATTATTGCATTAGTTCAGTATTATCATCACTGCGTCTGCTAATTATAGCTAGACTGACTTGTTTTTCCTATGGTGTCTCTATCATGTTCAGAGCAGAATAATTAATTAAACAATGTGCCGAGTAGTTCCCGACATCTTGGTTCCCGACATAGTGGTTCTCGACATAGCGGTTCCCGACATAGTGGGCCCCGACATAGTGGTCCCCGACATTTTGGTTTCCTAATGGATGATTTGATCGGGTGGGAGAGCGCATGACTGCAAACTCCAAAAGTCCCTAGTTCGGACCCCGGGCAGGTGAGGGAGGTTTGGGGACAGCAACACATCTAGGATACAAAACACCAAAGTTTATTTTTAACTACGCCTTCAGACTGTTCTTGAGTGAACTATGCAATGGAGGCTAATCCAGAAATTCATGCTGAAGTCGTATTCAATGGGGCATTAGGCGCATGACATGTGACACGTTATACGTTACTGTTTTGGCATAAAATCCTTCCAATATCACAGTTAAAAACGATGGAGAATAACAGTGTTCACTACATGAGGTTCCTCTAAAATTTTATCCAATATAAAGTCTTCCGACAAAATGGATCACGACAAACTGGTTCTCGTCTAAATCAATCCCGACAATGTGACTCCAGACAAATAGGCTCCCGATAAACCTCCAGACAGTTTTTACCCCGACAAAATGGTTTGCAACAAGAAAATTAACTCAGAAATAAGAGGCCATGTACAAAAGGGTCATACATCAGTTTAGTCGGTGACAGAACAAATTACCCCAGGACAAATGATCTCAGGACAAATGACCTCAGGACAAATTATCTCAGGACAAATTACCTCAGGACAAATGATCTCAAGACAAATGATCTCAGGACAAATTACCTCAGGACACATTATCTCAAACAAAATATCGCAGACGAAATATCTCACGGACAAATGATCTCAGGACATTTGATATAGGGACAAATTATATTATGGATATACCATATATCATTGGATATCAAATGATATCATTTTTCCTTATATATTTTGTCCATGAGATCATTTGTTCTTGAGATCATTTGTCATGGAACCGTTTAGTTTATTATGAGAGCTAAATGTTCTTCGTGAACTTAATGTAGTCTCACACCAATATAGTAAAATGAGCTTAAGAGCTTAATATTCTGCATGAGCATCAAATACAATCAAAACTTAATTTATCACTTGGTTGAACCTTGGCCTTAATCCTTTTTAATGAAATATAATAATGGGGGACATTTTGTCAGATGCCCAAATGAACGGATTATTTTAGACGCACGCCTTTCGTCTGGGACTTGGTGATGGGGGCGTTTTGTCAATAGCCGTTTTGTCGACTCAATTCATAGAAAACTGCAGGTATGGTCAAATATTGAATACACCATTCGGTATCTTGTTTTTACCCTTAAATTGTTTACTGCTTGTATTTACCATTTAGGCCTACTACCTCAGAACAGCGTGTTATTTAAAAGAAAATGAAGAGCGGATGAATACAATCAAACGTAGGCCCTACCATCTTTAGAATAAAATCAAATGTAGGCCCTACCATCTTTAGAATAAAATCAAATGTAGCCCTACCATCTTTAGAATAAAATCAAATGTAGGCCCTACCATCTTTAGAATAAAATCAAATGTAGGCCCTACCATCTTTAGAATAAAATCAAATGTAGGCCCTACCATCTTTAGAATAAAATCAAATGTAGGCCCTACCATCTTTAGAATAAAATCAAATGTAGGCCCTACCATCTTTAGAATAAAATCAAATGTAGGCCCTACCATCTTTAGAATAAAATCAAATGTAGGCCCTACCCACTTTAGTGCTATCGCCTCCCAGCGTAATTAACTCTGGAACTAGCACAAGGTCGCGTGCGATGTCTGGCACGAGAATCGTCTCCGGTGGACATAAAAAACAGAGCGGACAGACAGCATAGAGTGGGTTTAGCGCCGTCATCATTGGGACTTTTTTTTATACACAGCTAAATGTTATAGCTGTCACTTTTTATATATACAGCTAAATGTTTTAGCTGTCATTTTTATATACAGCTAAATGTTATAGCTGTCACTTTTTATATACAGCTAAATGTTATAGCTGTCACATTCTACACAGCTAAATGTTATAGCTATCACATTCTACACAGATAAGTGTTAAGGCTCTCACTTTTTTTATATACAGCTAAATGTTATAGCTGTCATTTTTTATATACAGCTAAATGTTATAGCTGTCACTTTTTATATACAGCTAAATGTTATAGCAATCACATTCTACACAGCTAAATGTTATAGCTAACACATTCTACACGGCTAAATGTTATAGCTATCACATTCTACACAGCTAAATGTTATAGCTATCACATTCTACACAGATAAATGTTATAGCTACCACATTTTATACATGACTAAATGTTATAGCTGTCGCTTTTCCCTAACCAGCTAAATGTTATAGCTGTCATTTCTCTAAACAGCTAAATGTTATAGCTGTCACTTTTCCTTAACCAGCTAAATGTTATAGCTGTCATTTCTCTAACAGCTAAATGTTATAACTGTCATTTCTCTAAACAACTAAATGTTATAACTGTCATTTCTCTAAACAGCTAAATGTTATAGCCGTCAATTTATTATACCCAGCCTAATGTTATAGCTGTCACTTTTCTCTACACAGCTAAATGTTATAGCCGTCAATTTAATATACACAGCTTAATGTTATATCTATCACTGTCACTTTTCTCTACACAGCTAAATGTAAAAAATATCGTCCCCTAAACTACTAACGTACATGTTACTTTAACACGACAAACCAGTAACCTACTGGCTTTAACATAACGGTTACATCAATGTCCAAGCCTGCCATACAAAGATGACGTCAAAGTCTAAACATAGCCACCGTTATATTACATCTTAACCTCTGTAGATCCCTATGTAGATCTATTGCATGTTGACTGATTTGTCCGTACGCCTGCCACAATTTTAGTTTCACTCGATGGCCGATATTGGTGGCTTTTGCACGCATTTATAAAATAACTTCCACTTATTGAACTGTAGATTAACATCCCACTACTTGTGTACTAGACTCTATATAGCTCTTGGTTTTTAGTCCCCAAATCAATCCGGCCCTTATCGTAACCCGCCTCCCAGATGAGCTGTTGGTATAACCGCCGCTTCCTCTCTCTTCTCTCTCTCCTCAATCCCCACCCTCCACCCCTACCCCTGTACTCCCCTCCCCCACTTCACCCCCGCTAGCAACAGGTCAGAAAACCATCAGGCTGGCACGTACTCCAACCATTATTGACAGTTATACCAAGGATTCTCAATCATCTACGGACATACCCACTGTGCCTAGAGATAGTTATACCAAGGATTCTCAATCATCTACGGACATACCCACTGTACCTAGAGACAGTTATACCAAGGATTCTCAATCATCTACGGACATACCCACTGTCCATGAAGACAGTTATACCAAGGATTCTCAATTATCTACGGACATACCCACTTTCCCTAGAGACAGTTATACCAATGATTCTCAATCATCTACGGACATACCCACTGTCCCTAGAGATAGTTATACCAAGGATTCTCAATCATCTACGGACATACCCACTGTCCCTGAATACATACCAATGATTCTCAATCATCTACGGACATACCCACTGTCCCTAGAGACAGTTATACCAAGGATTCTCAATCATCTACGGACATAGGCCTACCCACTTTCCCTAGAGACAGTTATACCAAGGATTCTCAATCATCTACGGACATCCCCACTGTCCATGTAGAAAGTTATACCAAGGATTCTCAATCATCTACGGACATCCCCACTGTCCATGTAGAAAGTTATACCATGTTATAGCAATCACATTCTACACAGCTAAATGTTATAGCTAACACATTCTACACGGCTAAATGTTATAGCTATCACATTCTACACAGCTAAATGTTATAGCTATCACATTCTACACAGATAAATGTTATAGCTACCACATTTTATACATGACTAAATGTTATAGCTGTCGCTTTTCCCTAACCAGCTAAATGTTATAGCTGTCATTTCTCTAAACAGCTAAATGTTATAGCTGTCACTTTTCCTTAACCAGCTAAATGTTATAGCTGTCATTTCTCTAACAGCTAAATGTTATAACTGT